CTAAGGTGACACTAAATTCATTGTCATGATTTTCTGTTAAGATGAAACGAGAGTTCCTGTTTCTTATCTTTCTGAAAATGAATGGAAGAAACTAGCAAAGAAGTTGTAACCCCTACACTGTCTTCCTTTATCGGTTTTACTGTCCGGTTGCACGGTAGAAGACTGAAATTTTTTTTGCAGTCCGCCGGTAAGTATGCAACTGTACCGCACAGGGCGATAATAACATTATTTTGAGTAATGAAAATCCTCTCCGGGTCTTCAATCCTCAAAACTTACATTTTGACCTTTTTCGTCTACGTTCCACACTCCATTTCCACTGACAACCTGTTTGATAAAGCAAACTTTCATAGAGAATTCAAGATAAACCAGGAGAAGAGGCGTTTGTATCCGCTATGCTATGAACGAATTGTAAGATTCATTCATTCAAGAGCTATGATGAGGTAGAATATTTCAGTCCGTATGCGATTTAACGTGATCCCAGCGGAATATTTTATTTTATCTAGTTTTAGCCTCTATTCTTATAGACCTGTGGACCAGTTTTATGGTCCTCGATCAAATTTTTCTTCTAATTGTGATACTTTTGGGATCGCGGGCCACTAGTTCATCAGTTGAATTACGGTTGAGTGTTACCCTCTTTTAATAAAGTTATTATTATTATAATTTTATTAATATTATCAATATTATTAATAATCAAGAGGAATGAATACAGTCTTTTTCATCAAATTCATTTCTTTCAAGATGGTAAAGGTGGGGGGGAGGGAGGGGGATGACGTCAGTAAAACACTTCAAAGATAATCAGGCTTGAGAATCATGGTTTAATACAATGTTACAAAGCTAGTTACAAGTAGGCTTAAACATGATGCCGGTTCAGTCTACTGTTTGCTTTAAACTACAAGCGGACTTCGATGGGCATCAATGCTTGGAATTGTCTTCATCGTCACCTCAGCAATCATTCAAACGATGAACAAGTGCGAGGATGCACAAGTATAACTTTCACAAGCACGACAAGGACGGCACCTGCTTCCATCCTTGCACGGTTTTGTTATTGGGTCACAAGGGTTATTCAATTTACAATCGTCCAAGTAGTCTAGTTCAAGGCAATCTTCTTCCTCTGAATATTAAGGAGAAAATACAGTTAAGTTTTTGGAGGAATTTTCTTTTACAAATGAACTGATGGACATTGAGGGACACTTTGGAAGATTACACTCCGATGTGTTTATATCTTTCGAATCACTGCATTACAAAGCAAGCTCTGAAACTCTCTTCTAAGCGCATTAAATTTGCTGATAGCTTTTATTTTTCTTAATTAGATAGAAGAAATATTAGAGATCAAAAAAGCAAAATAGAAGAAAAAACACTAAATCGCACCCACGGCAGTCGACGATCTTTTAAGTCTGGCTCCAAAAACCTGCGGAAAAAAAGCTAGTTTTAGCCGGAACATTTCAAATCCATCGAATACCCTGGTAATGAAAACCAGCCCACAAAATTAAATCTTCCCAATATTCAATGATATCTCAACTGAAATTAAAAGACAAAAGAAACTGAAAAGTAAGAAAAGAAGCGTATCTGGTCTTTCAATTTTGACTCACTTGTGATGCCTGAAAGCAAACGAAGGATAACAAGACGGCAGCTACGTAGATCTTCATGATTTGGAACTTTCAGACTGTGCGACGAAAAAAGTAAAAGAACACTACATTAAGGAATGCAAAGAAAAATTCTCAGATGCGTGAAAAGAGTTTCACGGTTCGTCATTTTTTTAGTTCATTCCAAACTTGACCCGGCCATATCAACAAAAGTTGCTTCTAATGAAGTTACAGATAAGTCTTTTCTCAACAAACCGCGATTAAAAGATAAAACAGTACTTTTAAAGTTTATACAGATTCAGCTTTCCAGTAAACTAACAGCAATTGAGTAAAGAAGCAAACACTTTTACGTTTAAAATAGTAGGAGAAACAAACCTCCTGTAAACGAGAAAAGGGTGTTCGAAATCTCGACCGTCAAACATGTTTGAATGAATCGATTCTAATTAATCAACGGAACTTATCCAGTTAAAAGTTTCATTTTACACATATGCCTACGGTAAATGGTAATCCAAACTTACTTCAGTGATAGGGGTCTGCACAGGTGGTTGGCAGTCGAGATCGTCCCAGGATAGAGCAAAGGCGAGCACTGTTCATTTACGACCTGCAGAATGTCGTATAAGTTACAAAGTGACAATGACTCAGCAGTATATTATGTATACCTTAAGCTGTGATTAATTTAATGACGCTAGCAATATGGATGAAGTTCAGCTAATATAAAGTTTGTTTTGAAATATAAACAAAAATACTAAGCCAAGATTTAGGAGCCGGTAGTCTAACGAAGGGCATGAACTAAAAGTGCAACTTATTCTTGACATCTTCGTGTATAGTTGGCCAACATGTGCCGCGCCAAACCTAAGCTTTTTCTTTCAGATAATATATACCTCAGATATTGAACAAGCATGAAGCCAAAGGTGTGGATATTGGTGAAAGTTCCCTGTTGTATTTGATCACATAACATTCACGGAGCAAATATTTCATTTTTTAATTGAAGTAATTGATACAAACAAACAATCTGAACAGAGAGAGAGAGTTCTCATTCTATTAAAGTGAGTCATCTTAAAGTTCTCGTTTTTAATCATGGGACATTTCTGGTCTTTTTTAAAGGATCGTGAGTATTTCAACTATTGAATTCTTTGACAGGATACTTGACGTTACTGATCAAACATGACGTTTAGCATCCGTGAACATTAACCAAACTTTATCAATTTTTTTGTTTTAGTGCTGCATAAAGCAAAGACCAATATTTTACAAGCTATCCTGACTTTGCAGATTTGGTAAATATTGAGCAATTTTCTGGATTGTGTTTATTGTCGCAATATGACGCTTATAGTCATTGAATAAGTGGTCAAGATTATTGTGCTGACAGATTAGACGGTTATAAATTAGTCGTAAAAGACGGCTGAAAATTTTTAACTTAACCTCGGCGTAGAAACGGGCAAATTTTTAACCGTTGGTCGTCAAAAAAAGTTAGCTGTCAAAATTTTTCCATTTTACGATCTGTCATTGTGTATCATTTTGGGTTAACAGTAGCCGTAAAATGGCCAAAATTTTAATAGTCAGCAAGAAAAGCAATTACCTCATTGACACCCTGAGTTTACTGCAAGGACTGTGAAGGTGGGTAACCTAGTCACTATACACACAATTAATTTGTTAGTTTGTTTGTGAGCATGATTTTCCATGACGATGAAACCAATCCATAATGAGTCATGGTACAGTGACGTTTTAACGTGCTGTTTATGATTCGGCGAAAATCACTGCTTTAGAATTTTGTGCGAGATCATGTTAGGCTTGACGTAAAAGACTGGTTACAGTCGTAGCCCAATATTGCAATATTGCAGGCGTGAGTTACTGCCAAAGTTATGGGAAACAGAAAAAAGAATAAAAACCTTGTGCCATCGTGTGCTAATCAGACAAGTGTTTATACAAGTTCATTTAGGTAAGGCTTGCTTTTATTGGCCGACAGCATTGGCAAATCATCCAGCGGCATCGACAAGATTCGGAAGTTATTCTTTACTGCTAGCTTTCCTTAGGTATTCATCGACGGATAAATAGAGCCGGTAAGGTCTTAGCACAAGAAACAGTCACATCTCAATGAGCGGTATGCTATCACACAGGAATCCGAATCAAAACATAATCAGCGGCAGGTAAGGGAACAAATTGTTAAAGTTAAACTGAAAAATTAAATATAATGGTTATTTTCTCTTACAATTATCAGTTAGAGATATATTTTGCGTCCTGTAGTGTTAGGGTAATGAAAAAAGTTCACAATCTTAATGAAAAACAGGTTCCCCATTGGGTGATGGCTTTAACGGCTCACGGTTAAAATTTTGGCCATTTTACGGCTAACTGTTAAAATCATCCCTGTGCTATCACCAGATATTCTCTTACGATAAACTTTTTTTTTTACGACTATCAGTTAAAATTTGTCTAACTGTTAAATTTTTTGGCTGTTTTACGGCTAACCATTGAGACGTGGAAAATAACTCAAAATAATCGTGCATCACCGGTAATAGTTCCGGGGGGCCACTAACAACTGAGCTACGAGCCAAGAGGTTCGGGCATGTCACATCGACACGTCTTAATTTTCAGATTTATTTTCTTCAATTGCATGCTAATTACCTGCGAGGATCATTTCGTTACTAGAATAGGAGCTCTTTAGAAAAAGAGCTCGTTGAAATTCTCGTATAAGCTTAGCATTTGCAATTTGAGTTGATGTACTGGTAAATGGGGGAAAAAGCTTTGTGACATCCTGCCATCCTAGAACGGAACATACACAAGAGACATGCTGAATTTAGCTTATCGATCAGAAAGCACGAGGGAGGAGCGCATGGATGGATCTCAGACAAACCATCCTCATCGGATGACTGGCCTTGACTTCTTTGTGTCTGATATACAGTTCTCAAACAAATTGTGCTCGTTACTGAGCGTCCGAATTAATGTAATCTGCATCAAGAACTGAGCCCACTTTACACTCAGCCCTAATCTCTTATTCAGTTACTGCAGATCTGTTTTATGACAGATATTTTTTTTTAGTAGTGATGTCAGCTGAAACTTTGGAACATCAAATCACATAAACTCATTATCAGCGTAAGATGCTAGATTTTATGTTACATATAATGAGGTTTACAATTGAAAAAAAGCACCCGTAAAATTCGTACGAAACTGACACGTGTTCACAACCAACCAATGAGAAAAGCCAACGACTAAGACATGTAAGAAAATTCATCGTACGTTCAATCGAAGACACGATCGATAGTACGTTACGGTGGAGACAGGTTGGAGAGAGGTTGGGCGATGAAATGGGTGGGTCCGAGAAAAAAGGTGTGAGGTAATCGACTGGGACCAACTTCCAACAAGCATTGCTTTTTTTCTGAAAATGGCGGCAAGTTGGGCAATTTGGAATGAACTGAAGAATAGTTTAGCCAGGATCTAACGGATGATCATTTCATTTCTACTAGTGTCAATATCTCCCCGTTGAAGTTTGTTATTGTTAGGTTGGCAGATAGAGGGGTCAATGGGTTAAATGACTTAAAAAAAAAATCACTCGTTCGCTTTTATGATGCATCGAACCTCGTGAAAGAAAAAACGTTCGGGCGCACTTTCCATGGAATAATCCCTTTTCATTGTTTTCTTCCTTTTTCTATGCTCGACAAACTTCCTCAGTTCATCCATTTCTCGGTACAGGCCAGGAATGCGCCAATTCTGAAAAGCCGAGAATTTCAATCAAGTTTTTGACTTGAAGTTGGACACAAGACTTTTCATCAATATTTTGGAGGCAGCATTTTGCAGAGAACTTTTGTTGCACTTTTGGCTGCTTTATTCCAACCCAAAACGCATTGCAAAGATTGAACCAAATGGAGGAAATGGAGGGGAGAGGATCTTCTAACTCTTATCATAACCGTTTTCTTGGCTAGCTGAGTACTGTAGTCACATATAGAAGGCCTAAATCATGACGGAAGAATGAACCCACAAAATCTTCTTTCTTGAAGCTATCACTTTCAAGGGGCGTGAGGAGACTGGGGTTTACAAAATACTACGACAGCAATCAGGCTTAGGGCAGTTCTGGTTTCAGTTAACTGATCAGGAGTTTGCTCCCAAGAACAATTGGACCTCTATTGACCTTTAGATCTATGCCACGCTGCTTTTTTCACCTTAAAATTAGGTTTCAAATACGAAAATACATAGGCTGCTCAAAATTGGCTGTCAAAACAGCTCTGCTTTAATTCAATTCAATTTGCTTAAATAACACGCGGAATTTTATGGACATCTCTGCCTTGGAACTCTCTTCACCGTTTCTTAGATTACGATTTTAATGGAATACAGGTGTAACTCTCACAACCGGGACACGGATAGCATTCCATTTTTCCGCATGGGGATGGAATTTCATCGCAAGGATTCTCCAAATCACACATTTCTGGTAAATCTGATACAGGGCATTCTTCCGCAGCTGAAAATTAAGAGTACAGGGTTTTGTTTCTAAGCTTTTTCCTTGACAAAAAGAGTGACCGACACCACATTTTTGGAAACACTTGAAAGATCATACCCAGAAGTCCTAATATACTTTCAAATGACATAATTGCATAATTGATTTGGCTTGCACCTCGTAATGCCGGCCATGATTTTAGTCCCACTGACATTTAACTAAAAGTGGATAGAATTAAGTACTGTTAAAAAACCAACTTAACAGAATAACAGGAAAAAAATTGAGATCGTACCTACGGCACCAGAAGATCTCTTAATTTTGGCTCCAAAAACCTGCTGTAAAACGTAATGTTAGCAATGTTACAAATCGATCAAATAGCATGACGTTGAAAGTCACCACAAAAAAAAATTAGAGATACACGATGTTCGATGACCTCATTAATAAAAATAAGAAAAGAAGCAAATCTAGTTAATAATTTTTGACTCACTTGTGAAGCTTGCAGGCAAACCAGGAATAACAAGAGGACACCCAAATATCTCTTCATGGTTTCGAACCTTCAAAAAATCGCCGTATTAGGAGATACCAAGAATTATTGATAAATAGTTTGCTTAGGCGGAGAAAAGGAAAAGGGTTTACCCGTGACAACCTGATTACCACGGATTCTGATTTGGCCGTTTTGCGGCTAACGGCCAATTTCTTTCTAATATGGTTAGAAATACAATGTAATCAATTATTTTGAATACTTAATATCTATTTTTTGGTGTTTTAAACACTTTTTCTCGCTTGCTTTGATCATTAAGAGTCAAACAACCAAGGTTTATATAGAGCAAGAAAGGACATGTAACAGTTTAAGATTTTGACACTTTCAATGACGCATCGTAGAAAGGAAATTGTTTGACGGTTAACCCTTTTTTAAGACCAACGGGTTAAATTTGATCCTTTTCGCGGTCAGTGGTTAACACCATTGAGACCCTCTTAAAAGTGAATTCTGCTCAACCGTTTGAGTTACAAAGTTAAAATTTAACTGGAGCAGTATAGTTTTCCATCTCATATGCGGCAGTGTTATTCCACAGCAGAACGCGATCGCTAGATAAGAAAAATGCTTTTTACTTATTAGTTACTTATTTACTTATTATTCGATGAACACAACTTCTGAGGAAGCTAACAAATATAGATAACAAATTGAGTGAAATAAGCCCAGCAAGAACTTCAAAGCTCAAACAATTAGAAAATTAGAAAAGCAAACAAAGAAACAAACATTACGAGATCTAAGACATAATGGGTATTCTTCGAAAAGTCGACCGTTATTGATTTCCGACTGAAAATTCTCATGAATCTACGGAGCCCAGTACAGTTATACGTTTCATTCCATGCAGTGAAAGAAAAAAAGGTGATGAAATTAAACTAAACGCAACTCACTTGGTTAACTTAAGTCTACACCGATGGTTATCAGCTGATATCTTCTCAGGATAGAGCAAAGGCGAGAATGATCATATGGGACTGACTAGAAGTAATTTAAGTGACAAAGACATCATGACTCAGCGACGAATTAAATATAAATGATGCTGCGATTGTTCTGAAGACGTCAGCAATGAGGATGAAAATTTGCGATATAATATCCATTGTTTGTAAACGGAAATATTAGTAGAAGAGCTACGCCGAGAGTTTGTGTAAGCTGGGGTATTTATGTCGCAGCAAACCTTATCTTTCCTATTTCATACCTTCTATATTGACCAATGGTAAGGCCAAGGGTATAAACTTTGGTGAAAATTATGTAACGTTCTACCTAAATAGAAAATAAAGACACAGCTTTTGATCTAACGTCTGTTATTGAAGTAATTGCTATAAACAAACACTCTGAGCAAAGAGAGAGTGTCCTCGTTATTTTTTTTTACAGTGTGGGTCACTGAATTCTTTCGTCGTAAATGTTTCTAAATAAAAATAAAACCTTTTTTATGGGAGATATATTGACCAAGCGTGATGTCAAGATTCCGTGAATATTAACCAAACTTTTTTTTGTTTCGTTCCAGTTGTTCTTAAAAGGAACCAGACCAATATAAGCCATCCTGACGCAAAAAGGAACCAGAAGAATATCCTGATTGGCAAGATCGGTTCAAAAGAAATCTGTCTCAAGGGAAATTACGATCTAAGAACTAAAGAATTTCGCTTTGTTGCAAAGTAACGGAAAATCGACTTCAGTTAAATCGTCTTGGCTGTCCGTCTTTTGACTTTTTTTCCAAGATATACAATGGGTGTAATTTTCGCCTCCACGAAATAAAAACTAATTGATTGTCTTTAATTGTTCTCTGCGGGAGATAGCTATATTTATTGCGTCAAAAACAAACAATACACTAATCAAAGGTATGTAAAAATAACAGCGGAAGAAAGTTTACCTTTCTTAACAATAGATATTTTACCAAAAGAGGTATCTGACAGCAGTGTTTGAATATACAGCGAGCCAGACTGCCATAGGAACAAGATAATTTGGGTCATTTGGTTTTTTATCAACCGAGTTGATAATGTAAATTGACCACCGTAATAGTTTCAAACATGGCTAACATTTCGAGTCTAAGTCCTTCTTCAACTGTCAAATTCTATCAACTCAGTTGATAACACCAAATATATTCTGTAATACCCCCACCGACGCAGCACCATAGTTTCTTTCGAAATTTACCACCTTTATTCACTTGCAATAGAAATAATTCATGAAGCGAGGATAAATAATGGTTATGGGATACTACACTGATGCATTCGCTTACCTCGGCACGCCAGCTACTGGTATTTTGATGGCTAAATGTTCACCGTTCAAAGGTCGCGCGAATACGACAGGTGGCTTTCACCATCGTTTGTGTTTTTTTGCGGCCAATTTACGCGGTTACCATTATACGTAGTTTTTTCGTTTTTTAGAAAAGGGAAAGAAGTGCTCCTGCCAAGAAATATTTAGAAAAAAAAGTAATGATAAAATAAATGAACAAATAACAACGAAACAAAAGGAAAGAAAAGATTCTCTTTAAAATTTTTATAGCCGTTGATCGTTTGGAGCAAAATCATTTCTCGGACTAAAATTCTACTTTATTGCGTAAATATTATGTTGTGTTATCTCTGAGGTACTAAAATGTCTGAGCTCTTTTAGAAACTTAACTAGGAAAAATTAAAATGAAGAAATGTAACAGACATAAATCAGGATATAATTGCTTCTCTAGGATAACACGAAATCAGGGAAATTAGAGAGAGGTTCCTTTTCCTTTACTTAACTGAAAGCAATTAACGTGGGTCAAAGGGATCGCACAAACACTGCTTTTTTGTAGTTTGTTTCTTTAAGTCGTTATAGCATGATATGTCTCACTGTGGTACAAAGGACATGGACTAATTGTTCTTGATCCATCGTCTTCCATCGATTGGCCACCTATATTGGCTTTGATATCTATTGTAATACGTCCTCTTTGATATTGAAATCACCATAATTAACAGCGGATCACGGATTTAAAAAAACCCAAGGACCGACCAAACTGTGTACTGAAAAAAAAAAAAAAAAAAGCTGTAATCTCTTCAACGATGAACACGATGAAGTTACTGTTTAAACAAAACACCGATTGTTTCGTTTTCCTTACTAAGCTTTATCATGAAATGCATCGTAATTGCTTTGACTCCTTTTAAAATCAGTGATGCATTCCGGGCTGTTCCCCTGATGTCATTTAGCCATTAATAATGATAATAGGACTAAGTGGAGTCCAATTCAGTCGATAATCATGCGACTGAGACGTCGAACGCCACGCAAGAGTCTGATTTGTTTATCGTCACGAGCATGATTATGGAAAGAATTGGACGACACTAAGTCCTGTTACCAATCAGTTAAAACTATGAAAAAATTTGAGAAAGAAACTATACATCGGTTACACGTTTTCATAGAAAAACAACAGTTAACTCAGCGAGATGCGCACAGCGCGCACATGACGCATACTGTCCCACTTACACGGCATGACATGTCAACTGTCCTATTACACTGTCCAATTACAAGTGTGACGCCGACACGGTCGTATTGGTGCTCAAGCCAGGCTGGTGATAACCAGTCACGTTATAGTTTGATTAAGATAAAATAGAATCAAATTAACGTATCCCGGCCACCTATGAAATAACATGCTATTCCATTAGTTCAAAACCAACGGCAAGAAAAACTACCATGCTCAGTATTGTAAATCACTTATGAAGATATAGCACTATTTGTAAAGCCAAATACATGTCAAAAATGAACGATTTGCTCTTTCCCTGTGAGGGGAGAAAGTTGAAATGTGTCAGATTATTTTGTTAATCCGCTTTAGCTTTTTATGATTAGAAAAATCGAATATAGATGTTGTTTTGTCGAATTTTCCGTGTTTTCCGGTTCTTCAATTAGGAGATTATATTTGCTAAATCTGACTCAACATTGAAAAAACTTAGGTGTGACTTCCTTTGCGTCTCACTGACAGTTGCTTGAGCAGTGTTTATTTCATGTCATGGTTTATTGGTTCGGCCGCTTACCCTTTGCTTTGTTGCTTGCGTAGTCGGGATTTTCGCTCTAGAACTTACCTCGAGCTTCTCAACTTTTTGTCCTAAATAAGGAGGGCTTTTACTCTTCCTTTAACAGATATCGCTGAAAAGCAGTAACCATTGCACGAGGACCGTCGGGTCTGTCTTTCCAAGGAACTGTTGCGTAACACTAATCGAGATTTTTAGTGCAGGGCCTCTAGTTCCTATTCAGTGTTCAATACTTTCGTCTTAGCAGTTTTAGGAAGCTGAAGGATTCCATCCTTTTCAACCATTTGTTTGTGCTTAGTTGGGTGTCTTCGCTCTCTCCATTCTCCTTCAAATTCTAAATTAAACGTTGTTAGTTTTCGCTGACCTGCTCGCCATTTTGCTTTTATTGTTGTTCTTTTGCTGCTTTCTAACCACGATCAATCCTTTTGATTTCAAATTTTCACCCTCAATTTCACCTTTTTGTATTGTTAGGGATTAACTGAGTCAGACGAATTTTCAGCCAATGGTCATACTGAAACTTTTTTGCATGAATATCGCCAAAGAGGGAAACTAGTCTGTATAACTATTTAATCTTTAACTCACTGGTGGGATCTGAAAGCAAAACAGGGAAACAAAGAGCAAGGCAAAGTAAATCTTCATATTGTGCGGCTTCCAAAAAAAAAAGGACCCTCTCAGGAGATATGAATAAAAATTAATGAATACCAAGCTTAGTTGTCGCTCCCGTATGAGCTAGCCAAATAATATAAGATACTGTTGTCAATTACCAGGGTATCAAAAAACACAAAAGACTGAGTTTAACAACGATATTTTCAACGAATAATCTAAGGTTACTACATCAATCTTATTTGTCTTTTCAATGTTGCAAACATGTGCACTTAGCCTACAATGTCCATACAAACAGTTACCGACCAAATTATCGACAGTACTATGATGTGATAAAGAAAACTATTTGATTCTGTAAGCTAGAAATAGCAGCTTTAACCTGCGCTATAATAAAGTCTATATTCTGCGATTTTAGCCTGTGCCGGAAAGAATAAAAGTAGGTCTCAAATCGATTACGGACGCACTCGAAACTGTAAAGTTTGGAAAGAGGTTTGCTTGTGCCAACGAACAACGCAAAGAGTATTCTGGAAAATTTGAGTAGGGGTATGCGCATTACTGGATGAAAGATAACCGCTTCCCGCTCCCCCCTCCCCCCCTCTCCCTAACGTTTCCATACGCCCTGACGCCTCTGTTCGGAGATGCCCTGAGGGCTCAGCTGTAATCGCATGACTGGAGAAACGTCGAGTGTCTATGAATTTCGTAGGCTATTTAAATTTGATACATGGTTGCGGGGTTGATGATGAGACTAGTATATGACTTCGACTTCTCGATCCCTGTCCTCATTCAGCGTATTGTTAAGGGTGAGAGAATGTAAACCGTTTCGAGATTGCCTCAGTCATTAAGGTAAGTGCTTAAATAAACAAGTACTAGAAACTGCATTGTGAAATGATAGTGAAATAGGGAGATTACGAACTTTAGATTTCTGCTAGGAATCAACTATCACGTATAGAAATCTAAAGTTTTCATCATAAATGTACAAGTCGTCCACAACTTAACATATTTACAACCGCACAATGTTAGCTTGTTTACTTCAGTCGCCATTCGTCACGCATGGATATGGAGTAGAGCAGTCGATCAGACTGCGGCATTTTTCACAGAGCACTAACAGATTTATTCTATTCAAAACCAGTTTTTTTATTTGGTTGCGATTCTGTTACCTGTTATCATTGCCTAGCCAGCCTGCCACGTATGCTTGGGTATTAATTGATAACCGCCAAATTAATCAGATACTTCATCCCCTCAGTGATTTGCATATTATCTGATTCTGCAAACTACAAATAGCGGTATTAATCTGCGCTATAATAATTTTATTTTCTGCGATTTTTCAATTCAGAGGCCTACTTCCCATCTGCTAATATTTCTGATACCTCAATGATTCCTCCACCTGATACAAATGCTTCACTATCAAGTACTGTGCAGTGTATTTCCTCAGGCTGTTATATAATTAACATACTATTTTAACATACATGTAGAAAATTGAATTATTCACGCAGGTAAACCTGAGCCTGAGTGTAAAAGGAGTATTTTTCACATCTGTTTCACCAATCCATCAGCCCTACAAATATCAACCTAGAAGTTATTTCAAAAAGCAGTGTTGAAAATGTACACACACATATGCACATAATTGAAAGAAATTAATTCTTGTGTCCAACAGATCATCACCCGACCGAAGAATTATGCAGAAACGTGATTGAATAAAAACTGGAGGTACGTGTTGTTGTTTGAGCGTCAACGGCCGATAATTCTCTGAAAACATGCTACAACTAATAACAGGCTTTAGCGAGAAAAATGTTATATTTTTAATGGCAGAACACGCCTTAAAAAAAATACGCAGATACTAAGTGCTCCACTTTTTATATAAACAAGCTTGAACATCTGGCTAAACATAAGTGGTTGTTTGGGGAAGTTTCAATTATTTCTGGCTCTTTCATTTCTGGCGAGGGACACCGTGAAAGAACGCGTCAAGGGAAGGGGGAGACGAAAATGTATGTATATTTTTTTCTAGTATCCGAGAAAAATATGGAAGGGATAACCATTCCAATTAAGAACAGTTTTCAACTTGAGATACAATGAATATACGAATTTCATATATTTTGAACTGCGGTATTAGATACGTATGATGCACGATCCTCGCAGTAGATAGCGCTATTTATGCAATAGCGAAAATCAGACCTGAAAAAAATCAGGTCTGTACGGGACTCGAACCACTGACCTCTGCGATACTAGTGCAGCGCTCTACCAATTGAGCTAACAAGCCCGTACAGGCCTGAAATTTTTTTCAGGTCTGATTTTCGCTATTGCCTAAATAGCGCTATCTACTGCGAGGATCGTGCATCATACGCATCCTTTCATCGTCGAACGATTCAGATCTCATCCAAGCCATTTGAAGGGTACTTCTAGATAAATATTTCCAAAGTTATTCGTGCCAAACGAAACTAGTCAGGTTACTAAAAGGCAGTAAACCTGGCTTTTTTTACATTGTGTTACTGCGAAATCTTTTTATTAGAAAATTTTGAAATAAGACGGTATTTTTTCTATCATTAATCTTTCACAAAGAGTCGTGGTTAATAAGATTTATTCCGAAAGCGTCCGTATAAAAGCGAGATTCCCAAACATGGCCAGTCCACCTGCAATGAAACCTTACTAATAAGGTCCTTTACCATTAGTCGTGCTAATTAAGACGCTTATGTAAGTGTACTGAGTGGCACTTTGAAAATATGAAAGACTGCGTAACCAAGCAACACAACAACGTATCGCTCATATCCATAGCCGTTTACGTTCTCAATGATTCGAAAAACTGTTTTGTTGTTTTTACTCAGGAAAAAGAAAACAACAACAATATTTGTTATTTCAAAGCTTGACTGATGTCTCCCTTATCAATTATTCACACGGGTCCTAACCTACACGTCGCTAAAATACCAAATGCTATCAAACTTCCATTTATTTTCATTTCAATTTTTTTTATCTGTAGAGAGAATAAGACAATCGAAAGAACAAATAGATGAGAGAAGCTTTTGTTATGTATTTTCTTTGCTTTGGAGAGGAAATTCTAATCAATATTCTGGCGCCTTTTGTATTCCTGCTTGTTGATGGACATAATTGCATTTTGTTTGTTCGGTGCAATATTAGTTGGGATACTAAATTACCCCACACAATGTAGTTCCGTCAATGGCTGACAGTTGTTCAACTCGATAAAATCACCAGGAGATGAAATGACATACAAGATAATTTTTTTGCTTCCACCAGAAGCTATTTGTTCTTTCATGGTTTCCCAAATATATATATTTTTATCACCGTCAAAATTTAAATTTTGAAGTCAAAGTTACGTCAAAAACACCTCAATAAGAGCTTTATTTATTGCCCGACCGCGTTCGAAGAGTGCTTACTTTAAACTGTTATTCAGACCCTTTTACCGTTTTGTCATCCGCAATTTTGTATTGTTATGTAGATCAGTCTCAGGCTCTCGTTCCCGTTCTTGGTTTTAGTGACATCCGTGCGCAAACTTAGGCGCCTGAAATGTTTATAAAAATAAGAGTAACCTTCCAACGGTTTCCACACAGAGTTACTGCCAATTCCACATGCATGTGAAAAGTATTTGAAAAGCGTGGCATGGGTCGAACGCGGTTGAGACTCGGTCGAGTTTCCTTTTCATCCTGGTCACAAATTTCCGCATCCCCAGTCTCTCAGAATGTGGTCTCACTCTTAAAAGGGAAACTACATTTGTTGTATGAACAGCTGCCAACAGATAGGAGAACTTTGTTTACGATTTTACTGGAATTCGAGAAGAAGGTAAGAATCGTTTTAGGCAAGGTTTCCGCATAACCCCGAATTCATTATGCATTCAGAACCTGGGTAGAACAAAACAACGGCAGAACAATAGATTGTCGTTTGGACTACGACTTGTTTAAGAATAGTATGGATTTCAATAAGGAAATCTGTCCTCATGTTGTAACATTGTTCAGCTAAACTACAGAATACAGGGCAACTTTTATCTATTCACTAAACGGGCCACTAAATATACAGAGCTAAAACTTAGCGCGCATGTAGAGTATTCCTAGAGTGCGTATATTCGTTAATCCTCGTCCTTTTATCCTCTGCCGAGGCAAAACGAGCCGAATGAGCCTCAAGATATATGCTTTTTTAAAAGTGGCTCTGTATTGTATAGTTGCCGCCTCCCTTCGATTTACTTAAGCAGCATTGGTGGATGCTTTGGTTTCAGCTTTGAACCATTGTGTGCTTGAGCCAGTGTGTGTGTCATCAAACTAACATCTTTACCTATCGAACCAACGAATACAACAATCAAATCAACTTGTTCTCTTGTCAACTGATCGGCGAAGGAAGAGTCCACTCAGCTCATTTGCTTTTGCCAAAATATTAAGCTGAGCTTACCTAACAAACGATATTCATCATTAAGCGTAATCACTAATCGAGTCAGAGTGGTCGTGATTGTTTGCGTCTGTCAAAGCTATAGTGCATAGTCTGCCGTTCAATTCACATAAGACGTGTCTCTTTTACCGATCATTAGGTTCTGTCTTTCATGCGTGATATTACGACTTCCATTGATTGACCAGATGGTCGCCTAAGATGACGTTGGTGATAAGGTTGCAAATCGATACCGATGTTGTTTTTTTTTTAGCTTTCTGCTAATATATTTAAAGCTGTTTACAAGTTGCGAAAGGCCTTAAATCGTTGCGATATCCCAAGAAGCGCATTAAAACTGGTAGTATATATAAAGATCAGTTAGGAATCACAGCCTGGAACACATGTACGAAGACATTTAAAAAAACTTTGCTTGACCCATTTTGGCAAGATCCCCTGTGCATTAGACTGATTTATTTCATTAATTCAACGTTGCTATTTTTATCCTATATCATTCGTGAAAACATCTGAATCGAATTGATTCAGTTACAGACGTTATTTGAGGCTTTGAAATAAAAGCTAGCGCTGAGAATTCACGACGTTTCGACCTCTCTGAGGTCATTTTCAAGTGAGTAAGTTTTCCAAATCAGCATAAATATGTTGAAGCCAGTTTAAGACGATAAAATGTGGCGAACACTAAAATATGTGAAGAAGTGTCGTGACTTCTTAGCGCTAGCTTTTATTTCAAAGTCGATTTCTTAGAAACTACTTATTAAGTTATCTGAGGCATGTCTACAATTAAGCTTAAAACACCGGAACCTCTTTCGTGAGCACCTCCAGGTGTCTTGAAACTTCTGAGTTTTGTTTTGTAACGCGGTGATTTCCAGAACGAGAAGCATTCCTTTCATCCTGTCATATGATTTTAGTGTGGGCTCGGACAAATCTTCCTCGGTTTCAATGTTATCTTTTCCGATTCAGAGTATATCTTCTAATAATTTCAGTCTAATGAGTGAATTGGGTTCCGGCAGAAGGATCTTATTACCGAAAATAATGCATGAAATGTGTTTGATTGCATTTCGCAATCGGTAATACATGTTGACTGACAAAAACGAGGAGATATACCGTTCCTCTCGTACGTAAAGTTCAAATGTGAGTGGAACAGAGCCACTCCTCAAGCTTTTTGCGGGCTAATCATCAATTTAAGAACTTGACTGTGGCGGTAATTTCTACAGCGAATTTTCTTATCGCTTTTAGTTGTGTAAATATGTTATGTTACTGAACAGATTGACAAAAGTTTGAATTACAATCTAATCCTTTCCCAAGGCTGGGCGAGGCGGAAACGGATTTGAATGTAGGGTTTCTAGTATTATCTTCTCGTGATTATAAAAAGTCAGTCACGGTAATGCAAGCTTGTGGCACAGATTCCCCGGCGCTTTATGATTCGTTTCACCAATGTATCTGGCAAAGATCAAGATAAGGCTATGGGCAAATTTACACACTTGACTTGTGTTTAAATCGGGGTCAACAACAGTGAATCCGTCGATGAAAACGCGCAACTCCAACCATCAGTTGTCATAAATTACTCCTCAGGCTGTCATGACTGCGAGCGACGGACTCTATAACGAACGCAGCCCCCAATTGTGATCACAATAACTGTTACTTACCTATCAAAAATTTTTCATACAGAAGAAAGTTTTTTAGGCATTAGCTATAGCCTGATAAATTATTTCGGGAGATGCTTTGTAAAAAAATATTTGTTCGTATGTTCATTCGAATGTTCAAACGAATGAAAGATGGGCGCATGTAAGTACATATCGTGTCCCACAAATAAGAGGTTGTATGTGTACCTTAAGAAAAATTGTCCTCTGTATCCATTCAAAACCCTTCGAAATCATATTAAAACTTGGCTAAATTAAAGAGTAAGAAATTATTACCCAAAATACACGCTTCTTTTATCAGAAAGGTCGCGGGTAAGATATCATTATGGACTCTCTGAGATACGAAATGAACGTTTCTCTTAGAGGCTGTGTCCATTATTCTCGCAAAAAAGTACTTAAACGGTAATCTTAGAGCAATCCCGCGTTATTAAAGCTGCAGGGCGCACGTTTCTCCTTCCACAGGAAAATTTGAAACGAGAGAGGGAGAAGTTAACTGGAGTCTGGCACTAACATTATAAGTGCTCGGTACCTTACAGAACTCTTAACGGCTCGCGTCACCAGTAATCATCAGTGACTGGGAATGGGTTTTCATCGCAACCCGGCAACTATCTATCTCAGTAACCTCTGAACATTTTCTATTGGCTCGTTTTGTTAGCGAATTGAACGTATCTGTGGCGCACTGACGCCGTTAAGATGAATCAGTTTAAATAATGCCATGTTGCATGAGGTCAACTACATTGACGCGGTACTTATCTTACTTGATCCGACCAGAGTCAAGACAACATTTGTTCAAAATCGCAACCCTTTCACCTTTCTATTGATCATCCTATCCCCTTTGTCATTTTTTGAAGTTTAAGTAAAACTTAGTTTTCCAAGTCTTCTTTTTTATGACTAAGATTTTCTTCATTCCATTAAAGCTTAACAACACACGAAGCAAAAAGCATGACATCGGCTCTTAAAGAGATCGAAGGGATCATTCTCACCGTCCTTTACGCCATCACGATGCTCGTAACATTTGCAGGGAATGGTTTCCTCATCTACATCGTGTGGAAGAAACCTGAGGTAAGATCACTGACAAGCTTTATGTTCGTCAACATGGCCATTGCTGATTTGCTGGTGGGATTGATTGTGATGCCCTGGTCGATTGCCCAAGTACATACTGACGGCTTATGGATGATACCAGGAGTATTTGGAGAAGTCATGTGCAAAGGTGTGGTATACATTGCCTATGCCACTTTAACAGCGTCCATCCTCTGCCTGACAGTCATAGCATTGGACAGGTACTATACCATTGTTCATCACCTCCGCCGCAATCTTTGGTTCAGAAGGCCTAAACTGACTGTACCATTTATTTGGATCTTTTCACTGGCTTCAATGTCCATTTTTCCGGCTATTCAAACCGTGGAAGACCACAATTCCCAATGCATGCTATCTGTTTATGTTTTGGGTGATCCATATAAGGCTATCCGTGGCCTATTCCTCTACCTTGTGGTGATCAACTATCTGATCCCTTTGATTGTGATGTCTTTTTTGTATACTATTATTGCAAGGAGATTATGGTTTCATGGGGCACATCGAAATGAGCATTCGACTGAAAATCGAGAGCAACAAGAAACCTTAAAGAGAAGAATAGTTTGGATGCTTATCATTGTTACCTCCACCTTTGCCCTTTGCTGGCTTCCAGCCCATGTGGTTCACATGATATTTGTCATGCAAGCATGGAATATTGAGGTAACTCTTCAGCCGATTGTCATGTTTGTGTGCTTTTGGTTTGGTCACGCCAACAGCGCCATCAATCCATGGCTGTACATTTTTCTGAGCACCAAGATGAATACCGCATTTAAAAGAATGGTGTGTAGAGAAACCCGCCAGTCGCCTCCGAGTAACAGCGTCATAACATCAAATGCTAACTTACCACCTGAACAAGAAGCTGTCAAGGAAGAATCAAGACTTTGATCTTTTCCATCATCTGTAACATTAACTAATTATTTGATGACTATATGAAGAAGAAATCCTCGCATCAGCGTCAGTATCTAAGCAACTGTGTGTACCTACTCCTCTTAGTTAGGGGAGGAGTAGGCGCGCAATGACTTAGATAATGAAATTGATCCAAACTTTAGTAACACTGATCAGACCAACAAGATAGATATTAAGTAAATACATATTTTTCATGATGAGTTTTAAGATGGGAGAGGAGGATTTCGAAGACATCAGGAGCTAGTGCGACATTCCCATTTTTAGTGATTTCCTATTTTCGTTCCTAATTACATTTTTGTGCTTCTGCATGCACATTTTTCTTATTTTTTTTCTCGCATTCTTCCACTCACGTTGATTTATATTCTGTTAGATTTTTTCGTATAGTTTTGCTTTGTTTAATTTCATTTTGTGTAAGCTTCTCGGTTGAATTCAGCATTGAGTATCAGAGTCCTTGAGATCAATGTCAATTATTTTACTGCATTTAAAAGAATGGTGTGTAGAGAAACCCACCAGTGGCCTCCGAGTAACAGCGTCATAACATCAAATCCTTTTTGTTTCCTGAACAAGAAACTGTCAAGGAAGAATCAAGACTATAATCTTTTCCATGATTTATAACATTTATTGCTAATTTGAGGACTACCAGAAGAAGAAATCTTGGTATCAGTGTCAGTATCTAAGCAACTGTGTCTACCTACCCCTCCCTTCCCCTGACCAAACAGTTTGCATGACGAATTTTAAGATAGGAGAGGAGCATTTTGAAGACTTCAATCTACCTACTGTGCGAATTGCTGGTTATGTATTCTATGACAGGGATTTTGTAGTTAGATAAAAAAAGGAACGAATGCTATAGTTCAGCTAGTTATTAGGAGAGTAACTTCAAATAGATTGATAAAGATTGATAGTTTCTAAAGAAACTGTTTGGGGCTGCGTCGGCGGGGGTAACGAAATAATTTGGATATATCAACAAAGTTGAAATATCCAAATTATTGAGAATGATGAATTTGAGAATGCTGGATTTAACTGAGTGGTTGTGAGGGTGAAACGTGAGAGTGGATGGAATGCGGTCAGAGTCATCACTACATAAACGACGAGGTCTTAGAAACTGAGAAAAAGGAATGAAATTCTTAACGTGAGATGGATGCGAGGACAAATATGACAAGTAATTTTAAAATTATGCGAGTCTAGACTAAATTATGGCTCCCATCGTCAAAACATTACCATCATATATTAAAGACAGCCAACACGCTCTTCAAAATTTTCGCGACTTTAATTTACTTGGCCAAAACAAACTTCTTTTCACCATGGATATTACGTCTCTTTACACTGTCATTCCTAATGGCGAAGGCCTTCTGGCCCTTAAACATTTTTTTAATCAACGTACAGTTAAGGAACCTAAAGTTGAAACACTACTACGTTTAGCCGAACTAGTGCTCACACTCAATTGTTTTTCATTCGGGGACAACTTCTTCAAACAAACCAATGGTGTAGCCATGAGCACCAAAATAGGACCTAACTATGCCAATCTTTTTGTAGGTTTTGTCGAACAGCAATTTTTCAGCCAATACAACGGCTCCAAACCTGAGCTCTACGGTCGCTACATCGACGACTGTATCGGCGCTACCTCCTCTACCAGAGAGGAGCTGACTCAATTCATCATGAACCGCAGTCAATTCTTTTCATCCGGCTCTGAAATATACCTGGGAGATTTCTGACAATTCTTTATCCTTTTTAGACATCAAAGTTTCAATTGAAGGCAACGGTTTATGCACTAGTGTG